ACCCAACCCAAAACGTCAGCTTTTCTGCTCCTCTGATGCTGCCTGACCTGCTGTGTTCCTCCAGCTTTACACTGTGATAATATTAATTAGACCAAGAAACACTGAATTCTTAAAAAAAAATTTTTTATATATAACTGAGCTTACCTCATCTAAACTCTTCTGCTCACACGGGAAGGAAAAGGTGAAACCAAGAGGGAGCCGAGCACCTTTCATTCCCATGTAATCGAGGAAATCAGAGATGCAATGAACAATGTGGTCAAACAGCTGAAAATCAAAAGAAAATCAGAATTACTTTATTATCGGTAGGTTATCAGCACATAATTAAACATGAGCACCAATAAAACCACCTCTAGCATTTTCCACTTCCACAATCTGTAAGGATGGAACTGAGGCACAATCCCCACCTTGTTTAACTCGGGGTCACCCTTGACAGAACCCTCACGTACAGCCAGCCCCTATTTCAGGCTGCAGAATAAATTAAAACCCACAACCATCACCTTAATAAATTGGCCCGTCCCTCATGGAGATCACAGGCCAAGACCCTAAAGATCTCTGGCTCTTGCAGCACGTACTGAACTGCAGAACTGTGGCAGACTGATCTGGTGACACCAAAATTATCAGTATGCAACTCAGTTCAACAACGAGCATCACCACAGGTACTCTTTGGCCAACCCACCTCAATGGGCTCTCAATCCTCAGCAACATTTGTTTTTCCTCTGCTCTCTCCCATTGCATCAGGAGGATAACTGCAATAGGCAAGCTCCTGGAGAATGTCTGCTCCATTCCAAGATTTGCAAAAAATACCAATTCAATGGAAAACTAACATTTATACTGCATGTGAGAAAAAGCGTGTTGTATAAATGTTAGTTTCTCTCAAATTGGTATTTCTTGTGAATTGCCTCTTAACGAGTGCAAGATGAAAACCTTTGACAAAATGTGCCTTTTTTCAGCAATATTCAAGTTCTATACTACCAAATATTTCAAAGGAATGTTATAACTGTATCTTATCCATCTGACAAGGTGAAATCCACTTCTCTTAAAGTATCTAGGATCTGGCATTTTGGGGACTGTTAATTTTGTCTTGACTAATTGTTTCCAAAAAACTTCCCCATCACTAAGACTAGACTGACTGGTCAGTAGTTGCTGGGATTATCTTTATACTTTTTTTTTTAAACACGGGTGTAATGTTTGCATTTTTCCAGTCCTCTGGCACCACCGGTCTTTAAGGTAGATTCGAAGAGCCTCCATAATGTCCAGATAACATTTCTGAAGAAGGGTCCCGACCCGAAACATCAGCTTTCCTGCTCCTCTGATGCTGCCTGGCCTGCTGTGTTCCTCCAGCTTCACACCTTGTTATCTCAGACTCCAGCATCGGCAGTTCCTACTATCCCTGTAATTTCTACTCATGCTTCCTTCAGAATTCTTGGATGGATCACATCTGATCCAGCTGTCTTAAGTTTACACGCAGGAAGCAATCCAATATCACACCCTTATCAATTTTAAGCCTTTCAAATATCTCGGCCACCTCTGGGTAGAAATTACAATGTTTAAAAGACACTTGGATAAGAACATGAAAAGGAAAGGTTTGGAGGGATGTGGGTCAGGAGCAGGCAGGTGGGACTAGTTTAGTTTGGGATTGTGTTTGGCACAGACTGGTTGGACTGAAGGGTCTGTTTCTGTGCTGTATGACTCCAAGGCAAATGTAAACCATTGATTTGATCAATGCAAGTTTGAGGTGATGCATTTTGGAAGATCTAATGCAGGAGGAGAGTACACAGTAAATGGCAGAACCCTTAGATGCATTAACATATAGACAAATCTAAGCATACAGGTCCACAGTTCCCTGAAAGTAGCAACACAACTGGAGGTGGTGATCAGGAAGGCATGTGGCATGCTCGCCTTCAATCAGTCGGGGCATACAGTGTAGAAATCAGCAAATCATTTTGCAGCTGTATAGAACTCTAGTTAGGCCACATTTGGAATCGCGCATATGGTTCTGGTTGCCATACGATCAGAAGGATGTCGAGGCTTTGGAGAGGGTACAGAAAAAGGTTTACCAGAATGTTGCCTAGTTTGGAGGGTATTAGCTATGAGGAGGAGATTGGACAAACTTGGTTTGTTTTCACTTGAACATTGGAGGCTGAGGAGCGACTTGATAAAGTTTACTGAATTATGAGAGGTATGGTTAGAATGGATAGTCAGAGTCTTTTACCCAGGGTAGAAAGTGTTAATTAGTAGGGGACATAGGTTTAAGGTAAAAAAGGGAAAGATGAGATACTAAAAAGTTTTCTTTTTCTCAGAGGATGTTAAATGCCTGGAACGCACTGCCAGAGGAGGTGGGAGAAGCAAATACAATAGCAATGTTTAACAGGCATTTTGACAGATACATGAACAGACAGGGAATAGAGGGAAACAGGCCATGTAATGACAAAAAGGTTTTTAGACTTGGTGAGTCGAAGGGCCTGTGCCTGTACTGTATTGTTCTTTTGTTTTTTTCATATCTCAAAAATGCCCTGCTTTGTGCAAATCAGACGTTTGATTCCTAATTGCTCCCACCCACCTCTTACCATTTATTTCCTATTGATGTACCTCGAGAAACACACTAAACAACCAAGAAAATTACTTACCTCTTCGCCGGTCCCTTGCATTATCTCCAAGGGAATAGCATAGATTTTGTTGTGCATTTCAACTGTTCGTCTCTTGCCACTACGAATCTTCACAAGTAGAACACGGAAGTTGGTTCCACCGAGGTCAAGGGCTACAAAATCCCCATTTTCTGTAAACAAAAATTGAAGATATCTAGTAAATACTTTTGATCCTTGCTATCATAAAAATATAGATTTACATTATTAATATTAAAAATAATCTTAGTATTTATTTGGTTATTATTTTGGATTGGTACTCAAATGTTTTCACTGCTTTTCAAAGTAATATCCAATGATTCTCAATACCCACATTATTGAGAGAGATGGAGGTGTAATGGTAGTTGTCACTGTCCTTGAGGGAAGAAAATTTGCTATTCTGACCTAGATGTGACTCCAGACAATTAGTAATGTGGCTGACTCTTAATTGCCTTCTGAAATAGTCCGAGACACACTCGGGTCAAGGGCAATTAGCAAAAGTGCTTGCCGACAATGCACATGTCACATGACAATAAAGAAAGACAGGAGTACATTTATAAAATACCTTGTAATGATTCAAAAGTCAGTCATCAAGCTCTCCCACTGCAGCTGTCCACCCTACTGCCATTCCGCTCTTATTCTCAATTAATGATCCAATTCTACTTTAACCGGTTTTATGTTTTATCCAGTTTTAACCTGGATTATTGTGGCAGGCCAGGAACTTGCAAGTCAGGACCATTGTTAACTTTCAAAACTTAGCCAGAATTCACAAATAGCAGAAATAAATTGAAATGGACATAAAAAAAAAACCGAGAGAACTGTAGATGCTTTAAAATCAGAATTAAAAAAAAGTTGCTGGAGAAGCTCAGCGGGTCTGGCAGCATCTGTGAAGAGAAACCAAAGTTAATGTTTTGGGTCTGGTGACCTGAAGTTCTGAGGAAGGGTCACCGGACCCGAAACGTTAACTTTGATTTCTCTTCACACATGCTGCCAGAACTGCTGAGCTTTTCCAGTAATTTCTGTTTTTGTTTCAAAGAATCTACTGTTGCTGAAAAAAAAAAAGAGACTTTTTTGAAGCTTCACATCTTGCACTCAAGACAGACACAAGAATATCATTTCATAAAATGAAATAACACAGGGGACTCTGGTTTGTCGAGATGTATCATGGGGAATGCAATAGGGAACAGGGTTGACTCGTCTTCTTTGATTTTAAATAAAAGTTTTGGGATAGGTGCTTCCTGGTACATTCTCTGTGGCAATGCCTTGATCAAATAGCTTCCACTTGCTGTCTAATCAACATCCTGCTTTTATGCAGATAAATAGTTGTCCCTGAAAAGTGGTATTCCTGCATCTGTCCTGACGAGTGGAATACCGAAAGCTTTGACGGCATGTCTCTTTATTCAGCAATACTCAGCTCAGTGCTACAAAGTGACAATCTAATAGAGTTGTCATTCAAAGATACCTCATACTGAAAAAAAGCTTTCATTCATTCCTAAAAGCCAGTCAAAATCTCATAACAAAATTGGGAAAAACTGTCCCATAGACTAGATAATAACAGCCTGACACCAGTATTCTCAGAATCATACCTTCCCCCCTCCACCAATGTATAGTGGCAGCAGTTTGTACCATCTACGAGATGCACTGCAGCAGCTCCTCCGTTGCACTTTCCAAACCCATAACCTTTACCAGAAGAACAAGGGTACCATGCGCATTGGAACACTATCACCAGACAGCTGTACAGAATTGAACCAGACTTTATAATTCAGCCTGTTTTAAAGCGTAGTAGAAGCGTTACTCTTTAATTTTCTAGTGATGGAAGAATGCACAATTTATAATGCTCATTTATCACTTACTTGAAACAAACATCTGTTAGGTATTTAGTGTGGGTCTGGTGGTTAGCGTTTTCATACCTAATTTCCAAGTTAGGTTTTGAAATAGCAGTGCGACAGCACAAGTTTAGTTCAGCAGAAGGTTGATGCTGGGTGGTCTACTTATACTTCTTGTCTTTTCAGGTTGGTGAGGAGGACTTTGCAGGTTTACAGTGGGGGTTGCTTGTATCACATCCAGTACCTAGTTTGATGTTGGGTACTCTATTCTCTTGAATTCTTATTTGACTTTTCATTGGTCACTTTGTAGCGGATTGACAACGTGACCAGAGTGACTTCTCAAGTCAAGTCAGAAGGTAGTTAAGAACTTGGCTTGATAGAGGAGTACAAAATGATCAGAGGTATACATAGAGTGGACAGCCAGAGGCTTTTTCCCAAGTTGGAGGTAGCTATTACGAGGGGGCACAGTTTTAAAGTGAGTGAAGGTAGATATAGGGGAGACGTCAGAGGTAGATTCTTTACTCAAAGTGGTCGGGGCGTGGAATGCAGTGCCGGAGAGGGTAGTGGAGTCGGCTCATTAGGGGCATTTAAACGGCTATTAGATAGGCATATGGATGATAGTATAAAGTAGGGGTGGAGGTTAGATAGACTTTAGGATTAGGGTAAAAGTTTGGCACAACATCGTGGGCCGAAGGGCCTGTACTGTTCTCTGTTCTATGTTCTAAGATCTAACTGAGGCTGCATTTCACGTCATTTCATAACAATGTTATTCATTTAAAATAGATGTTAATGACTTCATTAAAAAAGTGGAAGGCCCATCATGCAAATCTGTGACATTTGACACAGCATTATTTCAAGTCACTCTGGTGCTAACTTCATGCACTTTCGTAAACACTGCCCTGAAACATCCTTTACCTGCTTTTCGGACCTGCTCCTGAAGTAGGAACCCATTTTGGTGGAACCAACACTAACATATTTCTTAGGGATGGGCATTTTAAAAATACAAGACTACAAACTGCATATGCCTTCACACCTGCTTATTGTAGCATCCAACTGGTTGTATAAGAAATAATTACAGCTTTGGTCTCATTGTCATAGCCAACTCAGAAACCAGAGGTTTTAGCAGAAAATCACAAGTGAACTTTGCAAGCATCGGAACACTAGTACAAGAATTTATAAGGGCGGCACAGTGGAGCATGGTGTGTGTGTGGCTGTGCGCATGTGCAGGGTGGCAGCATGGTGGCTCAGTGGTTAGCACTGCTGCCTGACAGCACCAGGGACACAGGTTCGATTCCAGCTTTGGACGACTGTCTTAGTGATATTTGCATGTTCTTTTCATGTCTGCATGGGTTTCCGCCGCGTGCTCTGGTTTCCTCCCACAGTCCAAAGATGTGCAAGTTAGGTGGATTGGCTATGGTAAATTGTCCATAGTATTCAGGGATGTGCAGGTTAGGTGCATTAGCCATGGGAAATACAGGAATGGAGTTAGGGGATGGCCTTCAGAAGGTCTGCAAGGACTTGAGTCAAATGGCCTGTTTCCACACTGTGGGGATTCTATGATTAGGTAGGTTCTTAGTCATATTGCTTTTGAAAATTATTTCATGTTTCTATTTTCATGCTATCGTGTGTTTATATACATCATTAAATGTTCACATAAAAGTTGAGCCCATGCAAAAGTGAGCCCTGTGACTTCTGGTCTAAGAAAAAAAAACTTTGCAGTAATAGTTAACATTCATGTTACAGGGATCAAACCCCCCTATAACACAGGGAACATTACTTTATTGTAAATGCATCCATTAAGAAGCTATAGTCCACAAAAAGGACCATAACCATATTTTCCCATTAGGTTGAAACAATTGATCAGTTATAGTTTGAGAGTAACCATTCCACAAGCATGGGGTAAGTTGAGGAAGCAGAGTCTCAGGAAATCTGTAAATGTATAAATACCAATGAAAATAAAGTACTAGTAAATAAATGATTTTAAAATCCACCAACATTTATGTTTTGTCTATTTATTCAAATTAGTTAAAATGATCAGATCAAAATGAGAAATTGTGTTGTAATAATTAGTTACTTACTAATTATTCTTATGGTTCATTTTTAATTCCTACAATTTATTATGGTTTTATTTGGATTTCACTTGGGCCCAAACACATCTAGCATCCTCGCCTCCCAAAACATCACCATGGTAAAGTTGACCCCATGATTTCTGGCACAAAAAATTCAAAATTCCATTTTTACAGTGGTCTATACAGTACAGAAAAGACCAGAAATGGTGATGGTGAAATTGGTACCCACCCCATGCCACTGCTACCACGGCCATCATCACCACTCAAAATCAACCCACATTCCAATCAGACAACGCAGATTGACAAAAATTGCATATTATAAAGGATATAATAGATTCTTAGAGTCAGTTTACAACACAGGAGGCCATTCAGCACATCATGTCTATGCTGGCTTTCTGAGGAGTAATCCAGTCAGTACCACCTGCACATTTGATCTCCAAAACCCTTCAGATTTCTTTCCCTCAAGTGCACAATCTACTTGAATCACTGATTGTCTCTACTCCCACCACACTTATGGGCAGCAAGTTCCAGGTAATTATCATTTTAGCAGTCGCTGCTTAAAGAAGTTCTTTCTCATACTGTCTATGTGTCTCTTGCCAAAAATCTTAATAAATAAATGTGTCCCCTTGCCCTGGCACTTTGATATCAGAGTGTTGTTTTCAAAAGTAAGGTCTTGTTCTTAGAAAGAATGGTAAACTAACTCTTAGATGAAGATGACAAGACGATAATAGGCAACCCACTTCATGAATGGCTGTCCCATAGATAAAAAGGATACCACATCGCTGGGATATTCTAAGTTTTACACAGTGCAAGTTACCTGCCCCTAGAATTACAATATAACAGTAAGTGCTGAGCACAGAGAGAGGAGTACTCAGGGTAGGAAGCGCCAGGGGAACCTCATGGGGCCAGGCCAATTCGTACACTAGGGTCAAAGAAGTTACAGAAACTAAATTTGAACTGGAAAAGACATGCAGGGGCCGAGAGAGCTCAAGAGCCAGATTCTGCGCAAGAGTAACTACGCCAGGGCTAGGTGAAATCTGCACTGGAGGATCCGTGCAGAAAACAAGCATAGAGTAGGCTCAGGGCAGAGGGGAGTTCTCATCAGCAGACCTTGTAGGCAGCAGATCTTATCGGTGATCCACAGACAGTAGTTGTCACCAAGCAGACAGAAGGCAGATGGGAAGGAAAGGAAGACTCAGAGAAGAATTTTCCAACACCTTGGCTAGAGAGGAGGATTCTGCCCCCATCACTTTAATGAGA